GTTGTCAGGTTATAAACGTGAGCTGTTTGATCTACCTCTTTCACCATGACTGTGGTGTTTATTTCTGTTTCAGCAATGCTATGCAATCCTGCTGAAGAAACTTTGATCCACCGGTCTTCCAGTTGAATTTTCCAAGAGGTAGTTTATGTGCTTGGGGTGTGTGTACTGTGCAGTATTTCGTGTTGGTAGCTTGGGTTTCTCCTTCCATGCGCGTGTTCCTTTGAAGTGCTTATTTTCTTATTCATCTTCCTAACATCAGTCTAACAGCAGACCTGTGGCACTCTGATCTTCTCAGATTGTGTAACGGAAAGAATGCTGCTCCTTCTGGCAGCTGCAAGTTCCAGCAGCCTCTGCCTGGTCTGACAACATTGCTCTGTCAGGGAAGAGAACAGCTTCCTGGGAATAATGTACATCATCTGCTATGCTCTGTTCTAGGATTTTTTTGCATATGTATGTCTGAGAAAGAGGAAGTATTGAGGTGTTATTTGGGGAGGGTTCTGCCTGAAATATTTTCCATGTTCTAGAGAGCAAGTTACTAAAACATGCAGTAAAACAAAGCAGAAATGCCTCTCTGCTGTATCACAGCTGGATTCATAAGGGACTGTTGTTCTAAAGTGGGTATTTTTATCATGGAATGTGAGATGCAGCAGCCCCAGTGTGCCACTCCACAGCCAAGATGCCATGCTGTCACAAACCACACTCACCACCGCAGTGTCTGAGTAACTGTTCAGTATCTCTCTGAGTAAAGCCGGAGTTACTCAGCTGCATAGTTTCAGACTAAATATGGCTTTATGAGTAACAGGCTGGTCTTCAGATCTCTGAAATAGAAAGTGTTCATTTAAACTTCTGCAACTGTAACTAAGCAAATGGATGAAGCTGTGTTAGATATTTTCAAAATCTGAGGAGCTGGTTATTTAGAGTGATACTTCTTAATTAAATGAGGAGGATAATAGGCGGGACATTGACTTCCTTTTCTCCTCGTCTCAGTGACTTTCTAATTCCTTCAGAAGAAAGCTGTCCTGTGATTATGATCTTGGATGGGGCTCTGGAGACTTGAATGTGTAGTTCTCATTGCTGCTGCTGCCATCCTGTGTGACCTTGAGTAAATTATCTCTTTAGGTCTCAGTTTTTCATCTGGATAAAAAAGAAAAGCCCCAAAAAAACTGAAACAAAGGGAAACCCACAAAAATGAAAGCAGCCCACAAACTCAAAGTATTCTTATTTACATCGCATCTATATAATTGCACAATGGGAACACGGTTTTCAATTGGATTTCTGGTGCAGTAAATCTAACTGTATGTTGTAAATATGCTTTGCACAGTGTGATTTGAACATTATGGTTCAATAGATTAATAGCATCTATTTCCCCAGTCAGAATGGCAGTTTTTTTGGCTGGAAATCAAAGCAGCAAGGAAGAGAAATGCTGTAGCAACTGGCTGTTGGCTCAGTCCTATTGTAGTAATTCTCTGCATATATGTGAGTGGAGCTTTTGAGTTACTTGTTTTGAACATGCTTTGATTCTTTTGGTCAATCTGGCAGCTCAGTGTGATTCTAAGAGTTCTCAAAATCTGTTCTGATTCACAGATGTTCTTGCAAGAACTCTGTGCAGTGAAGAACTGCAGAGTTGTTCTTCTAGGAGCCTTGGCAGATGTATTAGAACAACTGCAAACATTAGAATAGCTGACTTGAGGTTACAGTTTTCAGGTGATAGTCTGCCCAGTGTTTGATCATTACATTCTTAGGTGCATTAGAGAATGCTAAAGGCTTTGACTTCGGGCTCATATGTTTTCATGGACAGAATCTACTAAAACCTTCTCATCTTTATGCCGAGACAGTCCTTGGACAGGTGGGATCATTCTGCTGGACTGCTTTTATTTTTTAATGTGAAATTGCTGCTGATTTAAATACTTTCAGATTATAAAAAACTCTGGGACAGCATTAGGTCCTGCCAGTGACTGGCTAGAGAATTCCCAGGTGAGGTGTAGCTCGCTGCCTTCTGCGCTGCACCCTCAGGGAGTGCTGGGATTGGGATGATGCCTGATAATTCCGTGCAAAGGAAGCTAGAGCAGGAGTTCTGTGCATGAGCCAATAGTTTGTTTGAATTGAAGAGAGATAACTTTGGAAAGAAGGAACTCCATGTTGGCTGACTCCTAGGAAAGGATAGGGATGCAGGGAAAGGAGCCACGGGAAGGACGTTGCGTTCTGTGTACTTGAGGGCTGCTGTCTAGCTCCTTTAAGTTTCTTTCAATTAAGGTTTTGAACTGAAGCATTTGGAGTGATGTTTTGCCAGCAATGGGAAATGGTTGTGGACGTGGATCCTGAAACTGAACTATGGTTATTTGACGACCTGTGAGTAAATAGGGTAGAGGTTTATATTGGGGCACAGTCTGTCTATGTGTTTGTTGGTTGAGTGAGTCTGTCTAGCTCTTGATCTGTTTCTCACTCTCTTTCTCTCTTTGTGCCTCACACAGGCCTTGCCATGAATTTTCTCTGACCCCTTGGGGCCATTCCCACATGAGGCTTTGATGTGTGTGCCCAGAGCTTGATTGACAAGGAAGTTTCGGTGGCAGCAGCAGGGAAACTAAAAGAAAAGGGCAGGGCTTTGAACTAAAGGGCTTTGAGTTCTGAGTTTCTGTGCTTACTTATCTCCTTCAGAATGTTAATTATTTACCAAGATAATTGGTCGGGAGGCAAAAAAAAGAGAGGGAAGGTTATTAAAAAATTCCAACACTAACACACTACAAAACCCTCATTTTCCAACTTGCAGCTGGCATGAAAAGGATGTTGTGTGTAAAAGGGCTTGAGTATATGTGTGTTGGGGGGGCCCTTTTTAAGGCACCCATTTCCTAAATAGATGAGTGCTGTAGAAACATCAAAGCTCCTGTGAGAGTTTTTTCTGGGGTTTCTAAACCGTGTCTGGTACTTTGTAATTAAAAAAGTTTATGGAGAGCTGTCTTTGTGACTGGAGCACAACCAGGCAATCTTAGGCCCTTTTGATTGAGGAATGAAATGTTAAAAGACCTAATAAATAATTATTTTGCTAAAATGTCAGTTCAAGGATGTGAATTCCCCTGGATGCTTTAGCAGGAGCCGAGTCTTGCAGTAGAGTGATAAATATCTCCTGTTTCAGCGTAGCGTGATGTTGACTGTACTGCATGACACAGTATCCTATGGCCTCTGGATTAATGTCAAAAAAATGCCTAATACCACATGCTTATCTGAAGCTTGTAAGCAGGAAGGGAGGTGAAGCTATTTCATTTTGCCTTAATGCAATTAATGTATTAATTTGCATTAATACAATTTTCTTAGTCTCCATATTAGACTATTATTAGACATATTAGCCTCCTGTGTGAAGATCAGGGTTCTGTTGAGTTCTGGTAATTGCTGTGCTGGATTGGGTCCAAGGACCATCATTCCAGTATCCAGCTTGGGCTGGTGGTGGCAACAGAGGCTCAAGATAACTCCAGAGCAGTCAGTCTGCCCTGCACAGTTTCCAAGTATGTATGAGTGATACCAAGTGGGGCAGCAACTTGCGTTTATCTGGTTATTTATTTATTTATTTATTGGATCAGTGTGACAAGTTTAGTGTTACTGTTTTGCCAGGGAAAATGTAGACCATAAATTAACATTTGCTGTATGGTTTCTGGCTGTAGCGGTACTTGCTTCTTTTACACCATGATGATTTAGTTTCTTTACCTGTCTCTTACTACAAGGCTTCCTAAAAACTTAATAGAGTTGTTTCAGCTAGTTATTCTTTATGTGGTATTATACTGGCATATAATGCAGGTAATAAATATGATGGTTATTTTTTCAGAATCCTTTCTGGTACAGCTGGTTATGCCATGTCATATTAATCTCCTGCATATCATACCCTCTTAAAAATCTAAGTCTGAGCTTGCATTGATGTCTGTTTTTAGCATGAAATTTAATAACTCTAACTCTCTTGCTCTGTATTTCATTTGGGAACACTTGGATGCACCATGGGATGTGATGGTGTAATGTTTTGTAATGTATCACTGAGTTTTTTGAAGATGTGGTGTGACACTGTGGTCACTGAAGGCAGCAGAGCAACCTCCCTAGCTAGGTCCCTCCTTTATACCCACAGGTGCCTTTGTGATTCCTTAGTTGAACAGGGGGTGTGTGAGTCCAGTTTCTCTGGTGCCCAGAAAAGGACCAAAAGATAATGAAGGGTCCTGCATCTGACATATGGGAAGAGGTAGGGAGAGTGTCAAGGTTGTTCAGCCTGGAAAAAAGAAGCTCTGGGGGGGTCTTGTCAATGTGTGTAGTAAAAGAGATGGGAAACAGCAAGGGATAGAGTCTTAGCAGTGCCCTGTAAAAGGACAAGATGAAATAGACACAAATTACAGGAACTTCCATTGACCATTGAAATAAAAGGAAAAAAAAAACAAAGCAACCAAACCTACTGGATAGAAAAAAATGTTTGAATGTGGCAGGTATTCTGATAAGTAGGAACTAGAAATTCAGGTTGGATTTATAAAAGGAAATACTTAATCCTGAAAAGGTGGTGAAACTAAATAAACTTCAACTATAGACAGGGTGTAAGTGTAATAAAATTATTTAGAATAGATTTTGGACGGGCATAACTGGATTTTTCTTCTCTTGGTATCACAGCCACTCAGGTCTTAGATGATTCTTCATCATATTGATGCTATCTGCTCAGCAGTGGAGAATCTGGGTGCAGTACAATGGCCTGAGATATGGGGACGGAGGAGGAGGAGTGGCGGGGCATTCCTGCAATGAGCACTTGCTGTAGAGGTCTCATCAGCTGTTCACTGGAACAGACCATAACATTTTCCTTCATGTCTTACTCTGAGTGGCCTGTGCTCTGCACAAGTTTAAGTTTTCATGAATTACAGATGGTTAGTAACCTTGCCTTGAACTCCATGAATTTCTAGCTGTCTAACCTTCCTCCAATGTTGACAGTGAACTGTGTAAGCAGTGAACAGGCAGTGATACCTTATTTTCCCCTTTTGCTGCAGGCTAAACTTTTTCCAGCTGCTGTCATTCATTTTGGATCAGAGGAGTGCAGGGGTGAGTGCATTTCCTCTCTCCTTTAGCTGACTGTATAGTTCTTACAGTAGACTCAGTATTGCATCCTTACTGTCAGAATTCTTCTGTCAAAATAAACTGCAGTCCTTGAGAATGCTGGTGAATGTCCCCATTCTGACTGGCTAAAGGTCTTCAGAGGTGGTTTGGTCAGTTAGCTTGAGCACAGCTGTAGACACTGTACCTCTTTGATGGGATTTGATAGCCTGGGGAGTAGGCTTTGTCTGCCGTGGGATCAAGAATGACAGAAGAATGACTCCATAGGAAAAAAAAAATCCTGTTGTTCAAAATGCTAACTAGACAAATGTCTATGAAATGCTTTTGCAGAGCTCCTGTGGTAGTAGACTGGCTGGACATGGTAGAACAGATCTGAATCCTTGGTTCTTTGGCATCTCTGGTTTATGCCTAGAATCCCTGTTTCTCCCAAAGACCAAAGTATGCTCTGCCTTCACAGAAAAGTTCCAGGGATGTAGTGAGCGCTGAAAGAAAAAGTCAGGGTCTTGAGGTTTGGATGATGAAATAGACTTTTGAGTTGTGAAGAAACTGGCATGGTTTAGTTACGTTCTGGGTCGTTGGGGGAAGGTGATGTAGGTTTACTGTAGTATACAGGAGGTACTTTTTGAGCTGAGAGCTGTGTGATACTGTGGTGATTGATGTATCTGTGTTACCAAATCAGTTATTTGGTTCCATTTCTAAACAGCTTGTTACCTGAAATCAGACCTGCTGAGCTCTGCAGTTTCTCCTTCTGCAGCTGATTTATTAGTAGCCAGGTATGTTGGGGTTGAATACAGTTGCAAATGACTTAATATTTCAGGAATGGGAAGCATGAAATGAGCCCATCTTACTACCAAAAAATATGCTTTGAAGGTACTAGGACTTCCTTCTCTCCAGAAACTTGACTTCATAGCTTTGTGAGTCCTTTGCAAAGTACGATTTCAGTGACTTAAGTAAATACTAGTGCTTCTATCATGGAAAAAGAGGAGCTTTTTCAATCTAACTTTAAAAGTTTAAAGGTGGTGGTGGTACAGGGGGCTATTATGAAAAATGAAGCTTAATTCTACTTGCTTGTTTCCTTTCTCCGATGTTTGTCCAGATCACTAGTTCCTTCTGCTTCATCAACTTTAGCATCAGTGGCTCCATCCCTGTCTGAACCAGAAGTGGGAAGTGAAAAAAAGACCACTGAGCAGCCAGAAGCAGCCAGCACTCAGGGAGCTCCGCAAGTGTTTAGAAAGGCCCCTGGGAAAATACCCAAATGGCTGAAGCTTCCAGGTATCAGTGAATCATAGGAGAGCTCTGCTCGTTCTGAGCTGCCCCAAAAGGCAGCCTCCTCTCTGCCAAACATGTTGGATATTGACGGTATTGTTACAGATGTTGGCTTGTGCTTGCAGGACATTTGGTTCACCACTTGTCATTCACAAATTTGTTGGTGACTTGAACCTCAGCCTTCACTGGAGAAGTATCTGAATGCAGATTCTGAGCATTGGGAAGTCTGATGCTTAATCCATATGCTTGTAGCATTTTTAACTGTGTTCTGAGCTTGTTGTGCTAAGCTCTTATCTCTGCCAGTGTAGTTCAAATATTAATAGGCAGGATATTCTGCATACCAAGGGCCCATGTAATCTGTTAAATCTCTGGCATAACTTTCCTTTTGCTGCTGTGGTCTGTTTTAGTACTTCCGCTTCTCTTGAATTTTTTAGTTAGTCATCCTTTTTTTAATCTTCACTGCACAGCAGTAGGGGTTTTCCATCATTCAGATTGTAACCAAGTGTCCATTATGATTTTTTTTCTTGTTTTATCCTGATCGGAAAACTGTGGCCTTGTTTTTAGTCCCAGAACCAATGGCTTATGTGTGTATTTTAGATGAGAATTTTTACAGAATGTGAAGTAATTATAAAAAGAATTACTTTTTATTGGCAATATTTGCTTTTTGATGCAGGGGGAAAGACAAGGGGAGTGGGGGGGAGAGGAAGCAAAAGAAAGGGGGGAAAAAAGAAAAGACATTCAGTCTGTTCCCTTAAGGGCAGCAAGTCTAGCAATTCTGATATGGAGTGACCTGGTTAATAGTGCCAAATGTTAACTTCAAGGATGAGAATTTTAGTATTTGTTTCTGGAGGACAGGGTGAGGCTATCAGCTCCAGCAAGCAGAGGGGAAGGTGCAAAGGCTGCGAACAGTGGGGTCAGTGTCTTAACCTTCTGTGACTGGTCTGATTTAGATTGGTGTTGAGATGCTGATGTGGTGGGAAACAGGATTTTCACTGTTTCCCATTTCCAGTATGTTTGAAGCATTGCACTTGAAATAGTTTTCTTTTCCAGGATTATCTGGATAAAGTACAAAATATCATCTCACCTACCTCTGCAGGTTTTCCATTTAACAGCTGTTATGGAAGGTTAATAATATGCTCTAAGCTGCATGTTAATAACATGAAGGATTATTAGGATAATAAGAAGTTCCCTGCTCCAAAAGTAGTGATGTATTTACCATTCCATCTCCCCAAGTGCTCTCTTGGGGTCCCCAATGCTGCCTGAGCACAGCAGTAACCAGAATCCTGAACCACCAGATCAGAGTTACTGAGAAATGAGTAAGTGATAATTACATGTTAAGTGTTTTAATGGTGCTATGTTTATTTCGTAGGTGGAAAGAGATGAAGCATCCTGGGCTGCTGGATCACTGAGCTGTCAGCTGTGCCCTTTCCTCTACAAACTTAATAAGAATGTGCAAAATGTCTTGGTGGCCCTGGAGAGATCTAATCTGTATGAACATTAGTTATAAAAAGAGAGTGGCTATTTGAGATACCAGTTGCACCTGGTGGTACCTGTTTGTGGTCTGTGTAACTAGAGAAGCAAGGTTAGAGGTTAAATTTAAGGTTTCTTGCATGCAAATATAAGAGTAGAGAATTAAGGGGGGCATGATATCTATATACTTTCTGCAAAGGACCTTGTTTCTATCCATATTTTTAAATTCAAATCCTCTCACTTCCACCTTCAGAGATCACTTGAGTCTAGCTGCCTGTTTATCTGTTCAGCTGCTTGATTGTCTAGCAGCAAGATACAATCTGGTTCAGCTTTACCTATAATTAAGTGGTGCCTAGAACAAGACTTCTCTCTGCCTCTTAGTGATTAGGGTTAGTACTGCTGATAATTCTGGACATAGATGGCTGGAGAATGAAGAGGAAGCATTTAAGTTACTTAAACCAGTTCAGATCAGTGAACTTACCTGTGAAGGACTTGGGCTGCTGCACTCAGGTTGTGTTCGGTTGCCCAAAATGTGTTAGCAAGCAACACAGGTGTCTGTTCATGGAATGCCTGTTGAGCTTGTTTCTGCCCTGAGCTCTAGTTCTATTTTCAGTGTGCCATCAGTAATTAGTTACAGCAAGGGAAAAACCATCCAGTTAAAGAGTCTCTTCAAATGACAGTTGATGGGTGGCCTGAGTATTCCCAGGGCATGGTAGCTGTGCTCTGCACTGCAGTAAATGTACAGGGAAAAGACCCAGTCCAGATCTTTCTCTCCTGCAGATGCTGTGGGGGGGATGAATATTGGTTAGAATTGCCCTTACACTGGAGATGAACTCTGTAGTGCCATGACAGCCATGGTGTTGGGCCTTTTTTGAAGTCTTCTCCATGGATCAGTGATCTGTAGAGAGCTGGGGTTTCATGGTACAGTAATACCATGTTTCCCATTTTCCTTATTTCCTCCCTGCACTACGTGTGCATCTGCACAATTTGTAGTTGTAATAAAGCAGAGTGGTCACGGGGGCCCTTTTGGTCGGTCCCTTTGATAGCTTCTTGCCCTGGCACTTGGTGTGTCTGTCAGTTCACAGGAACCTACTCTCTTTTCAATAGGCCTGTCATGCCTCATTCCCTTCCCCCCAGTTTTTTCAACAAAGCAAAACGGAACTTTGTACCATCTGAATGAACTTCAAAGTGGCTAGAAAGGGCACCCTGGGTTCCTGGCACTTGTCATTGTCTCCCTGCCTGGCCAACATTTCCCTTCAGGTCTAATTACTTCCAAATGCTCACAGAATGCTTTGAAGAAACTTGGAGGGAGGGAGAGGCATGAAAGAAAGGTAGAAGAGGGAGATTCAAAGCAGAAGGAGCACAGAATGCTTTACCAGGAAGGTTGATTGATGTCTTATATGACACCCAAACATAAACAGGGAACGTGTGCGGCCACTGGCAACAGGAATGCAAGAGCACTGTGTGCAGCTCCTGTCCTAAATCCTCCCTGTGGAAAGCAAGCCCTTCTGCCACTTGATAGGCTATAAAAGACATACCACAGCAAACCAAAAAAACAGTCAAATAATATTTAAAGTTTATTACTGTTTAGTGGATTAAGTGAGCCTATGCTGCATAGGACTGTTGGTATCTTGGTTCAAGTGCTGTATCAGGCTTATTCATGTTACACAAATCAGAGGTAGGCAGTAGCTGGAGCTGCCTTGCTGAATTTATACAGGATATCTGTGGGGAAACCAGGAGCCATTGCTAATGACAGGTGGTGAAATACTTCTGCTGGTGTTTTTGGTTTCCAGGATTAGAATATGCAGAAGCAGTGTGGTTGGGAGGAAGTTGCAGTGTGCCTTCAGATGCGCTAGTCCTTGTTTTTTGAAGAGCACAGGTGACATCAAATAGTACAATCTGCTTAACTGATTTGCTTAGCTGTTGTAATTATGTCAGTTTTTGTAAAGGGTTAGCACTATAAGTATCCCCTGCAAGTACATGACATGGCAAAACAGGTTTAGGGACACAAGCAGCAATATCAGTATTCCTGGGGCGGTTTCATGGCTTAAGTGTAGGGGTTTTACACTGCTGACTGTGTTCCCTCAGGCAGTTCTGCCCATGCTTGTCCCTTGTGTAATTTAGCTGTGCATCAAATCCAGTTCAACCACAAGAATGAAAAATTGCTACCTTCAACAGCTAGACAAGAGGTGTTATTCCCTTTCCTGATACATAGAGTTAATTTTAGCTGCTGCTGCTATTCAATTGCTGCTTTACTGTGAACGTCCACATCAGCAGTTCTCTGTGTGTCAGGGAAGGGAACTTGAGCATTTTTAGGGCAGCAACTTGGGGACTGCTGTTTCAGTAGCAGTCAGAGTGGAAGCAGAGATGAGGATCTGAAATCTGGAAAAGGCAAGGAAGTAGGAGTAAATTCTTTAAGGGGGACAGGACATCCCCACATTTAAAACAGAGGGCTCTTCACTAAGGTACTTGCTACAAGGATTCCTGCCCTGCCAAAGAATAGCACCTGCAGATACCTGATGAACTGGTTTTGTTTCAGTACCACTGCTGCTATAGTAGCTGAACTCATTCCTGGGGTTTTAGGGCAGTCAAAGGTAGTATCACTTGTTTTTTTGGTTTTTTTTTTTTGCTATTGCCTTTTTTTTACCAGTGGTTGTGGGGCTGAAGGCTGAACTAGGTCAGTTCCTTCATTGCATGTGTTGTACAGCTGAACAGTTGTCTCACTGAGAAGCTGCAGTGCTGAGGGCTGGGTACTGCCACCAAAATGTGTATTAAAACTACAGGTTTTGTGAGGTTTCCAAGTGCTTGGTGTCCTGAGGGAGGGATGACCCAAATAGCTCCTAGCTCAAAGTGCACAGTGAGCCCCTCTGAGCCTCTGCCTGTCACAGCTGTAGCTGAGAAAAAGACTGCTCACTACTGCTGATCCTGCAGTAAGTCAGCAAGCGGGCAGGCCCGGGAAAGAAAGCTCTTTTCCGTGCAGCCAGCCGTGCATTTCCCAGCAAAGCCAGCTGGGTTGTGTGAGTCCTGCCCACATGTGTAAGGTTTCTTATTTCACAGTGGGCCCCCCCGCTGCCAGAGGGGCCAGGCTGTCCCGTGATGTGGGATTCTCACACATGCTGTTTGTTATTTTGTCCTTTTTTCCTTTCGTCCTACAAAGATTTAGGGAAGAGGGTGGGTGAGGGGAAGACTCTGCAAGTCTTTGAAGCAACTTGACTTTTGATGATGAATTGCAGCAAAGAGCCTACATAAGGAAGGGAGACTTGTTTTCAACTTACTGATGTCTCTTTGTGAGAACAAATTTATAGCGGGGGGAGCAGCCTCTGAGGGAAATACTGAATGATTAAATGGTTTCAAGCATTCTTTGATGTCACAGCCCTGGAGAAATACTGGAAGGTAGTGAGAGACAGACACTGTTTATTTATAAAATAAAGACCAGTTACCTGCTCTTGGCAAGAGCCTGTGCCTAAGCTCCTGTTAATGACCTATTCATTGGAAAGGCTTGGAGCTGCACCTGGAGTTGCTGTTACAGCTGCCTGCTTGAGGCAATGAGAGCCTGAAGGTTGGATGATATTTCCAGTCATTAAATCTTCTTCCCCTGCACCTCTGTGAAGCAGCACCTCTTTCTCACATTTCACACATCTGAGAAAGCAACAGCATCTTACCATGTTGTGAAATACAGGCCTCTGTTACAGGAGTGAGGCAGCAAGATGGAAACCAGCTATGCACTCAGCTAAACAAAATATAAGCCTGTGGCAGCCTCTTCTCAAAAATATTATCGACAGCATCATTGCTTTGGGCTCTGTTGTGCTTGGTAAAGGTGAGAGGAAACAGAAGCAAAATGGCAGAGAGAGAAAAAGCTGAGACTTTCTCGTAGAGTGTCTCTGAGGCAGAGACATGAGTCAGGTCAGGACTGTCTGCTGACAGGTGACCTGTGCTTCAGGAAGCCTCTAGAAATCCAGAAGCTGTAAGGAAAGAGCAGCAAGCAAGTCAGGACAGAGGCTGGGATCCCAAAACAGCTCCCAAAAGGTGAGGATTAGGCTGTTTCAGCTCATATCCTCACCCTGCACCCATGCAGTTCAGGCCCACAGTTACATACCAGCTGTGGCAACACTTTCTCCAGCTGCTCAGTGTCCACCTTCTTCAGGTCCTCTGCCTGAGCCTGCCGAGCTGCCCGTGCCGCCGCTTCTACAGCCCAAGTGAAAGAAAGGGCAGGTCAGGGAGAGGGGGCTGGGAGCTGTCACCTGTTAGTCTCGTCCGGGGCGCCGGGCTGGTGTCCTGGGAGGAGGGGGTGACCCAGCGCCCCGGATGAGTCGGGGCAGCTGGGCCAGGACTCCAAGTGCGCAGGAGGCAGCAGAGCCGAGGCAGGACAGGAGGAGTCGAAGGTTGGCCCAGGTGCTCGGGGAGGAGGCGGGAGCCCATCGCTCTACGGCTGGGGCCGGGATGGCCCCGCGCGCTCACCTCGGACAAAGACCTTCAGCAACTCGGCCAGCAGCAGCTGCGCGTCGGCGTTAACTGCAACGACACGGCGCTTAGGGGACGGGGGAACTCGACCCGCCCGGACCCGCCCGCCGCTCCCGCCGCCTCGGTACCTCGGGTCCTTCCGTCTCGGAAATGGAGGCGGAGAAGCCGATCCACGGTTTCCTGCGCGGAGAGAGGAACGGATAAGCGGGGCCGGGGCCGCACCCGCCGCTCGGGGTAGTGCCCCGCGCTCGGAGCAGCCGCACCTTCCTGAAGCCGTCGGCGCGGCCGCCCCGCTCCTCCATGTCGCGCGTGCCGGGGCCCGCCCCCCGGGGGCGCGCGGCGGCGGGAACGCGCGTCAGGGAGCGCTTCCGGCGGGAAACGCGCACGTCAAGGAGAAGTTCCGGGGCAGAACGCGGCCATGGAGCGGTTCGGGCAGGAGTACGCGCGGCTTTGCGCGGCGGCGGGCGCGGCCCCGCAGGAGGCCGTGCTGCGGCGCCTGCGGGAGCCCGACGGGCTGCGGGGTCGCCTGGACCTGGCGGCGCAGAGCCTGTCGCTGCAGACGTGCAGCGCGCTGGGCCGGCTGCTGCCCGGTGCTGCGCCCTTCGCCGCGCTGGCGCTCGGCGACTGCGGCTTGAGCGAGGAAGGTGCGCGCGAGCCCCTCAGGCTGTCCCGGCGGGCCCGCTCTCCCTCCCGCGGCGGGCGAGGCGCGGCGCTGGGCCGGGAGGTCGCTCGTACTGGACGCCGGTGAAGGCGCCCAGTCCGTGACCGTGCGGGTGGTCGCGCACCCCTCGGGCCCTCCTGCGGCGGCGGGGGCAGCTCTGCTTTCGTTGGCCGCGGACTGACGGGACAATTCGCTGGCTGAGGTGGCCGGCACTAAGTGAGGGCAGTACATCCCTGTCCGCAGAGCCTGGCCAAACGTGGGCTTTTCTCAGGGCTGTCAGGTAGATGTGTAAGCCGACATGTCTCTGTCCGGACACATTTTTGAGAATGTATAAGCAGTCTCCTGCTATGAAAGCTCAGGGTCGCGCTTTCCAACAGCGGTAGCAGTTTACCAAGTAATTTGTTTATCGCCAGGATGATATGCTGCCGGTTTAGGCAGAGGGTTTTGCAGATGAAATAAACAGCTCTTTTTTTCTGCTCAGGTGTAAGAGTTTTGTTGCATGGTCTTTGCTCCAACACCACAATCAAAACTTTGGATCTGAAGGTGAGTCTGTTTGAATAGAATTAAGAGTGTTCTGTGGTGGAGAAGGAAAAAGGAGCACAGGCTTAATCAGAAATAGACGGGACAGTCCTGGTGCAGGATTGTTCAACAAGATGCATACTTCTGTAAGGTTTTTGTTCTCATGTGACTCATTCCTTGACTTGCTAATACCATGTCACAATTTTCTGAAGTTACTGTGCAGATTATCCATTTTTATTCAGTTACCCTATTTTGATAAGTTATTGCTATTTGCCTTTTGTCAATTGCTGCTCAGGCAGATGAGGCATATGTAGGCTTTTTGGGGGATTCCTCTATTGATCAATGAGTTACTAGCTGTTCTGCTTGTGTTTCTGTCTTTTGACTAGCCTGGGCTTTGAACTAAGCATATGCCTTCAGATGTGATTGTCTTTCTACTGAGAGTGACTTTCTATCTGCATTCCTCTGGCACACAGCTATTCCCTTGAATTTACCATCACAAACAGCATCACAGTCACAAACTGCATCATAACTTTCTTTCTCATTTGTGCTAGTGTTAACAAAGCCCTTCTTAATGAAGTGTGTTAAAATAGTTACAGTTATTTAAAATTGCTGTTTTCTGTCCCATTGTGGCCCATGCTTGTTCTGTGCTATTTTGTGATTTTTGCAAGCTCTCAGTCATGGTGCCCTCATAAGAGCAGTGGTGCATATGGATCCACTGTTCCTCCTAGGTTTTTCTTTTTGTGGAGGGCAATCAAGCAAATGTTGATTGGACCATCTTTGCCTGACTGCAATTGGCATTACAGCTGGGATGCATCTGGTGGTGTTTGTGGTCAAGGTGGACTGGGACAGGCTTAGCCTACTGATCACCTGGGGCTTCTGTTTCAGGGAAATAACCTGCGGACCATGGGAGCTGAGGCTTTGGGAAAACTTCTTAGGCAGAACAAATCCATTAGGAGGTAAAAAACTATATCTGCCTCTCTTTGTGCTATTCTTGCTGGATGCAGCATGACATTTGAAAAGGGTTGAGGGTGTTTTTCGTTGGGGTAGGAGGAATGCTAATCAGTGCAATTTCTTGTAAGGGGTGGGACAGGCAAAAGCATGAAAACTGGAGGTGCTCTTTTGGAGGATGCTGGGCCCTGGCAGTGTCCTGTTCTCTAAAACCGAGCCCACTCACAGAGCTGGGTGTTTGACTGTGTATGCCATGATTTGTGGATCATTCAAGTTCATGCCGCTGTCCATTTACTCCACAAACACCAATCCTGTCTGATTTCCCTAGCCTAACCTTAGAATGGAACAGCCTCGGCATGTGGGAGGAGGGCTTCTCCTTTTTCTGCCAAGGACTGAGAGCAAACAACTTTCTTCAGCGTCTGGATCTGCGCAATAACCAGATTAACCATCAAGGGGCTGGAGAGCTGGCCATGGCACTGACACAAAATACCAGCCTTCAGGAGCTGGGTAAGGGTTCTTTGTCCACATATGCATATAGGCATGCAAACATACATGTATCTTCAGGTTTCTTGCCTCAGTTTCTTCCAGCTGGTCGGTGTCATTCCCAATTTTTGTCAGTCTGGATTGCTTTGCTGGCTTTGTGCAGGGAGAGGTCACAACCCCATGGCCTTTGGAGAGTGGGAACTGAAATGGGAATCTCTGGAACCAAACCTGCAGATGAAGAATTGTGTTTTTTGAGCAGAACAGTCTTTAGTGGAGGAGGAAGTGTTTTCATTCCTGTTTGTGGTTGCAGTTGGCATGCCTCGTGACAGACTCTTGATACTTTAATTCGCACTCGCTTTGTCCGCGTTCTGTGGAATTTTGCTGGAATTTCCTTCAGGAGAATGTGGCTTTTGTTGCCAATTCTTTCTTATCCACAGGTTCTGTCTGTGGAAGGAAAGCTTGTGAGAGCCAAATGTGAGAGGTAGACTTCTGTCATGACATCCTGCAGTTTACTAAAGATTTATCCTTGCCTTTCCTGCTTTGTCACTTTCTCTTCCTCTCATTCATCTTGAAAGGGGCCAGAGTAGCCACCTGTGTTTGTGCTAAGGCTATCTGGGATTAGTTAACTGTGCTTGCAGATACATAAAGAGCATGGGTTCTCTTGAGCCCTGCAGTTTTCAGCAGATGCATGACTACCATGGTGAAAGTTTGCTTTCTGTGTAGATTTGCGATGGAATAACATTGGGCTTCTGGGTGGCCGAGCTTTGCTGAACTGCTTGCAAAGCAACAAGACCCTGAAGAAGCTTGAGCTGGCAGGGAACAATGTTCCTGGCGACATCCTGAAAGCTGTGGGTAAGTATAATGTGTGTACAGTAATGAATCACTTAACTCCTTTCCCAGCTCAGCACTTGGGGGATATAGGGCACCTGCTGCTCTCTAGAAAGAGAGCTAACCCTCTTTCCCTCCCTTTCTCAATAGCATTTCCACAATGCCCTATGTCACCGCTTCTTGTCCTTTAGTGAGAGCTAGTCAAGTAGAAAGTGTCATTTTCACCAGCAAAAGCAAAAAAATAATTTGGATTGTGTTATTAGAGATTGCTGTGCCATGTGAATGTGGGAGAACTTGATACTTTTGCTCATAGTTTGATGAGCCAAGTTTTTATGTGGCTTACGCAGCCCATCCTGTCCTGCCCACAGCAGAGTCGAACAGTTTTCCTTAGGCTGGCGTGTTGATTACCCCTAGACACTGCTCTCTTTGATCCCATCCCACCTTGTGATGTAAGGTGGGACTCTCTCTACATGGGCCAGCCTGAGAAGGGCAACTGTCCTGGTGCTTCTGATAGCCAGTGGTCATCCTGAGTGCTGTCTCTTCCAGCAGTGCTTGTTATTCTCTTGCTTTAGAAACTTGTGCATGTTGTCCTGCTCTCTCTGCATCAGAACAAGCCTTGGATCACAACCAAGACCGTGAGGCTATCCTGAGTGAGGCGCAGAACCAAGTGGACATCCTCAGCAAGGAGGTTTTGAGTCTGAAAGATGAGAAGAACAAACAGGTCAGCAGATGTTGGCAGTTCAAATGGGGTGACTGGGATCCTTTGCTTTCCCTTGAGGTCCCCTCAGATCACTCAGTGGCAGTATTATTGTGCACCTGAAGCTGCATGTGCATTTTTGTGGCCAGGCACACAGCATCATTTAGTACATTGGGTCTGTCCTCTGAGCTAGGTTGCCTAGGAATCAAGTAACAGTATGAGTATGGACACATCCCTGCTGAACATATTCACTCTGGGTTCTGGAGGAGCTTTAGTTATTTGTGGTTTCATTTATTTTGCAATCAGTTTGATATTTTCCAAGTGGTGTAAACCTAGAGATCTGACCTTTTAGGGTTTCCATCTGACACCTTAGGATGCAGAGTCCCTATAGCTGATGACCTTATTCAGACATGCTGATAAACCAATCAAACTTCCAGTTTGTTTCCAGTAGAGTGGCTTGACACGTCTTCAGCTGTTGTTGGGAAGATAAGGATGAAAAATGTAAAGGTTTGTCACTGATGCAGTTCGTTTTCTCACTGAATTTTGCCTTGCTCACAGTTCATGGATTTTGTGGATACTGTAGACAAGCAGAAAGCAGAAAGAGCCAGGAGTGAGAAGTGAGTTAGATTTCTAAATGTTTTCTGCTCTTTGATGGGAGAATTGAGCACTCTCCATTTCCTGGCAGAAATTACCCACCTTTTTTTTATTTCCTTTTTTCCCCTTCCCAAATATGCAGAATGTCTGCGGCACGAGTCAGCCAGCTGCAAGAAGCATTGGATGAGCAGTACTCCATTATGAATTCACTGAAAACCAAGTATGGAGGAAGAAAATCTTTGTCTTCCCACTGTTTGCGCTGTTTAAGAAGTGCCGAGCAGAGCTTCTAAGAAGGGGGATAATCTTGTAGGGTAGCTGGATTATTATTTTGGTTAGTTCTGCAGTAATATCCAAAGTTACAGTCAGATCAAGTCTTTGAGTTTGCCATACTAGATACTTAGACTGCTTTTAAGTAAAATTACAGTGCATTGGTGTAAGAGCAAGTGAACTACAGAGGGTGGGAAGAAAGAAAAAGGATTGTGCAGATGGGATGGGGGCATGTTCCTTGCATGGTTTACAGCCTTGCAGGAATCTCTGCCTTCTTCCCCTAGCAGCTGACTGCGTTCTCCAGAAACTGCTGCAGGTATGGAGGAGCCTGGCTTGGGAACA